ACCCACCCCCCCCCCCCCCTTTCCATTATAGCAGCACGTGCATATAATCTTGAGCCAGGATACACATTCAAGCCACATGTATCCCTACAGAACTTATATCCTTAGTAAGACAGGAGCTAAATGTACATGCTAGGGACTGATTCAGCGATACTTCATCTGTAAAGACTACATGCCCACGTAGCCCATGTATGGTCTTAGATACACCAGTACTTTTGCCACTGCTACCAGATACCAATCCAAGAAGTGATCTGGGGCACTTCCCTGATCACTCCTACATAGACCTTCCATTGCATAATGACTTGCTAACATGTAGATGTATTGGTTCTGGAAGAGAGCCTCATAGACCTTGGAGAAGCATTAAGCTGTCACGGCTCATATGTTTGTGAGGTTCCTGGGCCTAAACAACTACACATCTGCCATCTGACCAATACTCGTGACTCTCGAGCTTATTATATAATTGATTCCCTTGCTGAGATGATGTCTAGATTATGTAAGTCTGATATTTCAGAGAACATATCCTGCAATAAGCAGTGAAACCCACACAGGTTAAGTAGTGACTGTAATGTTCTTCAAGACTGACTTGGCAAGCTCCATTTGCAGTACCACAGTTAAAGGAAATTGGAAATTATGGAGACATTTGAGTTCATTTCAGTTTTATTCTGTACATACAACCACTTCTGTAGTACTCTCCGGAAACTCTTGATACCCATAAATAAATCTAGGTTCATGTTTTATTTTACAGCTCCCAATAAGTGCTACCTGGCTGACAGTGGTAAGTACATCTATAGTATCCATTAAAAAAGAAAAAAAGAAAAAAGGAAGAACTAACCCCTAGTAGGGATGTACTCCCTGGGAATCAATCAAAAAAACATTCTTATTTAAAAGTGTGCACATTTATTAAATAGAAATACAAAATTATTAACCTCAAAATTAATGCATCTACCCTGCTTGATATCTAAAAAAAAAAGTCTGGCCAGAGGTCTGAGGGAAGACCAGCGTTGAGTTTGCATATGTCTTGCTGGACGATCTTGCCTTTCCACCCTTTGATACCTGTGACCCACCAGTTTATCGAAACTGACATTTTGTTTGAATATTGGAGATCCAATTGCCACATGCTTTTGCCTTTCTGCCTCCCCACCGGGACCAGCTGAATGGAAGCTGGGACAAAGCTAAGTACCTGTATTAGTGCATTTATGTTCATCCATGGCACATGCACAGTCTTTCTTCTGAGCCTTACACACTACACAGTTTGGCTACCATTGAATGTATGTGTTGTTCATTCACGCTGATAACATTGTGCAGCGTCTGCAAGATCGCACCTGAGTACCACAGGTTCTGGGATGTTATTATTATGGCAATTTGATGGGACAAATGTACATTGCCATCATCACTTGGATTGGATATACTTACATCATTTCAACATACTCATATGTGGCACCATTTGGAGTATTAACTGTTTGTTGTTTTTTACGCTGACCACAGTGTGCAGTCTTTTGCATACCGCACCTGGCTACCTTGTTATCCTAATGTGTGATATTGGAAATTCGTTTGGAATTGATATCAGCAATGTCTGCTGAATGTGCAATTATATGGTATTATCACCTACAGTGACTCTTTTGGTTACAATACTAGTTTATTGGCTTCCACATCTCTCAATTGCAGTTTTTTTGTTTTTTGTTTGATTTCCATGGTGACGTCACTAAATACCATCACACTATTTGGGAGTGATTTTTATCATGCATGATGAGTTTAACACATGGTCTGGCCAGACCTTTCAGACAGCAAATGTGGGTCTATATAACATTAGATATCAAGCAAGACAGATGCATTTATTTTTTAACATTAAGAATTTTGTATTTCTATTTAATAAATTTGCACACTTTTAAATAAGTATGTTTTTTCATTGACTACCATGGAGTGCATCCCTACTGGGGGTTAGTTCTTCCTTTTTGCAAATAGTTTAATACCCCTTGGGAATTTGTATTAATTTGAATTAAAAAAAACAAATTCAGGGAGTTTTTGACTGATTTGGTTTGCCCTATATGGGAAACCCCTACCACATTTTCCATGGAAGTGGAAACATATTCTTCCATTCTGAAAAGTTGTTTGCAGTCTCTTTTTCTTTATAAAGCTGATCATACATAATGTTTTTGGCTTTTGTAAATGGTCTCTCCATTGGGCTATGAGAAGGGTATTCTCCTAAAACACATATACCCAATGTTCTTCCAAGCCCTCACAAGTTACGAAGCATGGTTCCAATAAGGACAATTGTGGGTTTGATGAAAGTTTTCAGTCCACACCATCAACCTTTTTGTTTGAAGAGTACTCCAGTTATCTGTCATAATGATGTGTGTTCATAATCTTTTCGCACCATTCCCTATTTTCAATGAAAAAACATTTACAAACCTTTTAAGATTAGATATTTTACCTGGACTGTGTCATACATTTTGACAGAAGGGAGTAGATGTGTAATATCTCCCAACATTAACATTTAAAGTATTTTTTTGTGTACTTTCTAGATCCCCTAATCAACAAGTCTGCCTCACTCCCAGCATACAGAAGGAATGGCCTTCACAGGGTACGGTACAAGAACTACATGGAAAAATTGAACTATGGGAAATGTTTACTGGTAGCTTCATTCAAACATGGAAGGTTGGATGTGTGTCTTTGTTAGACCAATCCGTGTCTATAGTGTGGAGGTGCCATCCACTGCCTGATCTGGTGAGGTGTCTAGAGTTTCATTAAAATAAATCATTTGGCAGACTGAAAAATATTGATGTTTTTTTTACATCCTTGAGATTGTCATCCATGTGACTTGGGTGCTATTGTACCAACATGACTGGCACAACCAACCCATTGCCAAAGGCCCCAAATAGAACCGACCCAACTTTTTTTGTCTTTAGAATGATAGAATTGATTAAAGGACACAGTTTACAAAGAATTGGAGCTATTACACAATATTAATACCAAATATCAACCTAAACAGCAGTGTAATTCTTAAGTCTTTTTCTGGGTGTAAGATATCAATATGATCTTTCAATCAATCATTCGATGCGACTGAAATGATCAATTTGAATAGGAATCATAAACCACAGACCCTCTATTCAATCAGCTTAACAAGCTTTACATAGATTATGATGCTGGCAAGTTAAACGCCCATGGCGAAATTTTATTGATCTTTTCTGATCAATCAAATGAGTATCTGTGTGTGTATCAGATAATGGATTGTAATACAAATCGATTAGATGATTATTTTTAATAGATCATTTTTGATAAATCGTATTTTCATTCGGAACATTGTACTTAGATCAATTACAATTCGATAAGTGTATGGACACATTTAAGTGACACATTAGAAAAAAATGCAACTAGACAACTTAATTAAACTTTCAATAAGCCAGCTCCCACCTATATTATAATCCCTACATTATATATCTGTAACAGATGACAGCCATGCTCCAAATTGTAGTGGACACCTGTAGTTACCTTAAAGTGTATGTGAAGCCAAAAAAGGAAGGATTCAAACTCAGTTTTTTACTGTTTGCGGGGCTTCATTAGAGATTAACCCTCACTTGCTATCTGGTAAAATCATTGTCAGCAGGATAGGAAGTAAGGGTTTAAGCCTTCCCCTACTCTACTAAAGAAAATCCTTTTTATTTCTGTCTCTGTTGCTGTTAAAGAGTTCCTCTTATTTCCTGTCTAGTAAAACCTTGTCAGCAGGACATGAGGGGAAATCTCTCTAATGGAGCCCCAGATAGGAATAAAAACCTGACGGGAGGTTCTAGTCCTTTCCCACTCTATTAAACTTTTTGGCTGGACATACGCTTTAATTATTTACCTATACAGTATATTAGACAGTAGACACAAGCCATTTTTAATGTGGTTCATGCATGTTTATTCAAAATATCCTGGACTTTTTAAACAATTTATGGTTTTTCTTACAGCCGCCAAGTGCGGAACTCTTCCACTATGATAGTGCCAATGCAGTCAACTGGGGAATGAGAGGTAGGTTACACGTTACCAGAAATAAAATGATAAATAACATTATAAATTCATATTATCATAATTTGTATTCAATATCTAAAAAAGTGCTAGCAGAGGTAAAACAAAAGACAGCTGACTGCATTTGTAATTCTGTAACTTCAATTGAGCTTTAAACCAATACCTATTGAGATTTCTGTACTAATATGGTGCAGAGATATACAGTAACCTAAAGCAACAGCTGCAGCATATACAGATAACAGTTTTCATTGTTATTATTAATATCTGGTTGGCCCAGTTGTTGTGGATTACAGAACATCCTTGCGCCGTTTTGTTGTAAAATAAAACTCTAGATTGTAAAAATATTAAATATATCGGGGGTCAGGAGCCCTTGTTCCTATAGCTCTAGAACATGCAGGACTCAATCAAGTTATCATACATGTGGTTCATCTGTAAAAAAAGATCAAAGAACTATTATTTGTTGTTATCATAACGTGACACCATGAATGATTCTCCTTGTGAATACTATTAAAATTATGGTCTCCGGCATTTTGTTAAAATCTCTATAATGTTGCTAGCCGTTTTTGCTGTTTCCAGGCACTTTTTAGTTGTTCTTCCTAAAAGAAACCATTGCTAAGAGAAATTTGGATGCTACCCTTTCAAACTCCTTTCTGAAAATGCTGGTAGCATGGCTGTCTCTGCCTTTAAAGCCTAACGTTAGTGATTTAAAACACAACAAATGCAGACTGTGAAGACAGCATTCACAATCTGGCTATTTGTTCTGATCAGAAACCAATGAAGCCATTAAGAGCATAAAGGTCCCCATACACCTTACGATTATCGTACGATAATCGTATGCGATCGACTTTTCGTACGACAATCGTAACGTGTGAATAGAGTGCCCGACCGATAGTACTGTACAATCGTACGACTTTTGACGGTCAAGCATTTTTGAAAACTTTGCTAGATCGTACGATTTTCGTAAGGTTGCTGGTGTTCAAGTCCGTCAAAAGTCGTACGATCTACACTGCGCTTGCTCTAACGAAAATACGGCAAATTATTTACCGCATTTCATCCAGGTGCTTTTCGTTAATTACGGCTAAATTAATCTTGCGATTGGGGCAGGATGAGGCTGCCGTACGAAAATCGTACGACGGTTCGATCATCGGACGAAAAGCTTCGTCCGATAATCGTAAGGTGTATGGGCACCTTGAGAGTCAGACAACTAGCATTTCTTTATCCTTCATTGAGGGACGCAAGAATTCATGAACTGCTGGGTAATACTGCTGCTTACAGGAGGATTTGGACACTGGCAAACAGGTATAACCCCTCCTATTCCCAGCATGTCTTAGTTAGTTAATTAGTTAGTTTGTTAGTTGCCCTAGTTCCCAGAAGGATGGATGTCTTTTCTCTGCTTTGCTGAGTCTGACCTTTTTTGCTAACTATTTTTTTTCTTCAATCTCGAACGGATGCAGACCGCAGAGCTGCTCCTCCCGGCACTGAGATCCTTTCGGCAGGAGCTCAGTTCTGTGCTCCGGCCGAAAGAAAGGATCGATTAGTGAGGTCTGCAGCAGTATTTATGTATATGTGCAGGGGTAGCATGTTTTGTATATGTGCAGGGGTTGTATTTTTTGAATATGTGCAGGGGTAGTATGTTTTATATATGTGCAGGGGTAGTATTTTTGTTATATTTATGTGTTTGGGAGGGGGTTGAAGTGTATTAGGCTACATTCACACCTGTATCTTTAGGTGCAATTAGGGATTCCTGCGGCAGGAACTTGCATTTTTCCGCAGCAGGAATCCCTAATCTGGCATTAAAAGCGGCAGCTGTCACCCGTTCAAGTTAATGATCAGATGACAGTAGCTGCATGTAAACGCCTAATTTAACCTAAACTTACAGATATGAATAGGGCCTTATTGTGTGCGTATTGGGGTCCGTAGTACCATACCAGATATATATACATTTTATTTTGATGTACGAAATTTGGCAAGCCGGCCCCAATGGGAGAAAAAAAATTGTTGAGTGGCCCCCCGAGTCAAATGAGTTTGAGACCCCCTATTTACAGGATACAAAAGGGTTACTTTAAACAAATATATATCATGATACTAAAAATGTATTATGCTCTTTTGATTACTTTTTACAAAATTAACATAAACATAAAAAACAGTATGTGGTTTGGTAAACTTGTCTTCATAATATTAAAATCTAATATACTGTATATATAATCTATATTTTGTCATTACAGCAATAACAATGTTCAACACTGAAAGTATCAATAAAATGTGTATTTACCTGTGTGCCTTCTATTTTCTGTATTGCAGAGTACAAGGTGAGAAGATCCAGAATTTTTTGATGAATAGGAGAGCTGTTACTATGACAATGAACTGTTTATGCAACAAAGGAAAGTTGTTGTTTTTTAATGTGCATTCAACCATAGCCTCAAGGACTTTCACTATATTCTTATTGGAAATCAATTCCGCTTCAACCACCCACATCAAATGACTCTGATTTCTATCTGTACATTTTATCTCTGCAATTAATAGATGAAAGGGTTATTAAACCCTCAGGTGTTTTTGCATATATCTACTGCTGTGTCTTCGCCATGTGCTACCGGACGAAAATCTGAAAGATCTCGGGCGCATGCACAGTTCAGATTTTCGGCCGGGAGATGAGGAGAGACACAAGGTAAGTCTATGGCAGCGTGCACCCGCATGCAGACACCGTGGGACAGGAAGTGCCAGCAAGCACAGAGGAGTCAGCGCTGGATCGTAGACCCGCAGCAGCGCTGGAGGGAAGGCTGAAAAGGACAGGAAAAAAAGAAGATTGCATTAAGAGACATCATTTAAGGTAAGTGCTGACACTAACATTGGGGGGAAGGAAAAAAAATGTAGACTTTAATGTCACTTTAAGACTCCCATTCAATTAATAAGAGGATTCACTTGGAATCCAAAACCTCAATATATACATTTATAGTGATAGTACATTTGTCCTGGTTGTCCTTACGCAAGTACACCAGAGCATCCGTTCTAACACACATTTTTTTTAAGATAGCACTTTGCAGAGTAGTGGCTGTACTAAAGCAGGCAGGACAATGTGGCTTGGTTTCTCAACAGTCATGTTAGAAATAGTAGCAGGAGTATCTTTTCAAGCTTGTGTAAAACAATCCTAGAAAAAGGCACCAGAGCACATAGATAAAATTAAAGTGTATCCCTAAGTCAATCCAGTTTATAGAGCTGGGGAAGTTTGGACACTGTCATGTTTTTATTGCTGCCTGTGTCCCCACAGGGGAGATTCAACTCTCAATTTGTATTGGTGGCCATTGTCACCGATGGTACACAGACAGCAAAAAAAATACTCCCTACTCTGTCCCAAACTACAAAAAAAAGTTTTGTTTATACATACACGTTAATAAAGAGCAGGCAGGCCGCAGGAGACCTAATGCACCCTGTCTAGTGGCAGGAGAACCAGCAGGTAGTATGAATTCTCATGACCCTCCTAAAGGAAAGTGCCCATGATGGCTAAATGCTGGGTGTTTAGTCTGGGTCAGATGCCTGTTGTCTCTTACTCGCTCACCCTAGCAGGATATTTGTGAGTACATAATTTAAAGCAATACTCCAGGCAAATCAAATCATAACCCTTACAGTAGGGCTTCCACCACACTACAAGAGTTAAGTGCTCGTTTTGTCTAGGGAGCTGAAATTAAAAAGTTATACACACCTGAACCACGATCCCGGCTTGCTCTTAGACCAGTCCTTCCACCCTCTCTGCTCCTCCACTCGAGCAGTCTAAAGTGTGAGACATACCATCGATGCAGCCGAGGAAGCGACAGCCTGCAGGGAGTTGTGTAGGAGCCATCTGGGATCGGGGTTTTGGTGAGTATAACTTTCTCATTTTAGCTCCCTAGACAAACTGAGCACTTAACCCTTTCAGCCTCACTGCAAGGGTTATGATGTGATTTGATTTGCCCAGAGTTCTGCTTTAAATAAAGCTCACACATTTTATCCAAAGCTGCACTATGTGCGTCTGTTTGGTTTTTATTCCAGAAATCTGACAATTTTTCCCAACTTCTTACATGCAGCTGCATCCATAAGAGTGGGCTTTTCTTACATATCTGAGCTCTGGGAATTTTACAAAGCATCAGAAAAAAAACCTGACAAAGGTTCTAATCCTTCCCATCTCTAAACCAAACTGAAAAAAAAAAAAGATTTGGCTAGGGATACAATTTAGTTTTTTGTTTATTCTCTGTGGATGTTAATTAGCTGAACCCCAGTTTAGCAGTGGGACTTGTACTGCTCTGGCTCAGGTTGTTGCAGCATATCAGATGTAAAAACATTTAAAGATAGCAGCGTTAATTCAGATTGGATTGTAAGAACATTAAAGGTTTTGTTAAATCCCATCACATTAGTGTAATCCAGTCTGAAAGTTGACCTTTGAGCTCAGATTTCAGAACAATTCCAAGACACAGGTTCCCATTCCTGCACCATTCCTATTGACCATTGTGCTTCTTACTGAGAGAATGCCATTGTTAATGTCCTCCTGCAAAATGTTACTCGCCTGTGTTTGGCTTCAATACTTTGAATCACTGACCCACAAAAACCATGCTGCCAGGAAATTCAGAACACCTGAACTGCATGTTTGCTCCAGATCAGTGACACCAAAAAATATTAAAGGCATGACAGCCAATCAGCTAGCATTTTCATAAGGAGAGGTAAGCAATGGCTGACTCCAAACTTTTAACAGTACAAGTTTTCTTTATAGGAGTACCCTATCCCAAACTTACCATTTTTGGTGTGAGGATATTAGAATAGTAATGGGCATGTTCACAAAAGAAGGACAAAGAACAATGATGATGTGCAGAATGCAGGAATTTATAGCAATCAATCGTATTACAGTTTATTGTAGAAAAAACAGTGAACGATTAATTCCGGTTGGTTATTATCAGATCTTACACTTTGCAGGTTGCTCCTTGCCCTTGTTAAAGCATGTACTTTTTGTACACTTATCCTTTTCTACCCCCCCTCCACCACCATTTCAGCATAGGTTAGAGACGTTCTCCACTCTGCTCCCCGCTCTCCATCCTGAACTACTTTGCCGTGGTCCCGGGTTCCCCCAAAGAGCGGGGGAGCCTGAAAACCACCGCAGGGAGGAAGGCGGCCAGGGGTGACAGACGCAGCAGGAGGTAGAGGTGGACCACGGAGGGGGGTAGCGGAGGGGGGGGGGGGGAGACCTGCAGGCTTATTACAAGTGATCTTGGCGGCATCGCCAAGATCACTTGTACTAAACGAGCGCCGGCTTCCCTGCTCTACATTTAGCTCTGCTTGCCCGGAGCAGGGTTAAATGCAGAAAAAAAAACTACCCGCACTTTGGCTCTGCCGCCCCTCTACACCTCTACTCCCGGCCAGGCCTTGTGGTCTTGTGGGAAATCTGGCCCCGTATACAGCACTATACAGTCACAAAGTTATTGATTGGGTTGGCTATTGCAAAGACAGATTCATCATAATAAAAAATACATTTATTAATGCATTAATAGATACATACATTATTATTATTTTATGTCTTTTGTATCTGCCTGGACTGCAACTTTGAAAAAAAAGTTTGATTACCTTTTTAATAGTAAACTCCTAATGTTGACTTCTCTGAGCAATGAAAAATAACTCCATCAGATCACAGCTTGTTCCACTCCACATTGCCACAGCATACCCACAACTGTCTTTTAAAGTGAAGCCTATTTTCTAAGATACAATTCTTTGTAACTGAGCAATATTGTACAAGTGGCTATTTGATTATTTGACAGATCTATCCGTATGAATTACTCATGGTAACCACTAGAGGGAGGACCAGACTGCCTAAAGATGCCGACAGGACTCGGCTGGAAGTAAGTGGTTTACTATTACCACATTTATTGATCAGACTTTTGGAAAACATATAAAAGGACGGTGATAAACATGCTGTTTAAGTAGAAGCACATTTTCCACTTACAAAACAGGTGCAGGAATCACTGTAGTGGGACCTCATCACATTTTGGAGACTGCTTCTTCCATTTAGAAGGCAAGCTTCTAAATGTAATGGCAATTATGCTGAGAAATCCAGGGCATAGACAAAGGGATGGAGATGTGGATAGGGTATGATCTGTAGGGATTTATGGCCATCCCCTCGTCTAACCCTCATCTGTTTAGATGCCTCCTGCATGGAGGTAGTGGCTTCTATTTACATGCTGGCAGAGCTGACAGTGTGAGAATTTAGAGAGACAATAATAATGTGTTTTGATCCATTCTATTTTATTTTTTTAAAGCTGAATGTTCATAAACTGATATTTTCTATCATGTTTTTCCATTTTTTTAAATACATTGTTTTACCAATATAAATGTAATAAGGGTGCATTCACTGGTTGACACTGATTTTGCAAAACGTTCTGGGCTTTCTGCCTGTTTATCTTTTTGACTATTTCAGTCAAATCTGTACAGGGCCCTATAATAAACAGACAAGGAGAGGTATGGCTTCTGTCGGCACCCTTCTGCCCATCATCCCTTGATCAACAGATTAAAGGAGTAGGTTGGAAAATGTACAGGTGAACAGTGCTTGCACTGTTTGGGAATCCTGACAGCAGCGGATGCCACTGCCAGAATACAATGTACACAGCGGGATAATCCTCCATCCATGCTGTTAGTGTGAATGGAAGTGTCTATCAGATTTTTTGCCCATGTGCCCAGCTTTACTTTTTAGCAGTGTGTAATTTGAGCTTTGCAATTGAGGTCTGTTTACAACATTGGCTTAGCATAGCAGTAAAGATGGCCAAGTAATAAAGGAGACAGTAACTTTTTAGTCTACCTAAATAAAAAAATAAAAAATAGTTAAGCAAGAGAAAAAGTGGGTAAAAGAAGTGTGACATTTAGAGCTTGTTCACACCAGCCCCAGTGTGTTAGTGATCACATTCTGGCTGGTTCACTTTGTTTTGGGGTGAGAGTGTCAACAACTTCAATGCACCGCCATGCCCCCTCCCGCCCCAAAACAAAGTGAGCCGGCCGGAACGCAATCCAGAGTGTTCCGGCACCAATCAGCCCTTACCCACACGCTCTCACCCTCCTCCTTTGAAAGTGGTTTGTTATGGACTTCTTTCCAGCTTATTTCATCCTCATACTTTCTGTACTGCCAATAAGAAATCTTTGTTTTTTCTGTGTCGTCATCGCTTGTAACATTATCTCTGTTTTGTTTCACCTTTTTCGCAGCGCCATCTGTCAGCTGAAGAGTTTTATCAGGTGTTTGGGATGACTATAGCAGAATTTGACCGCCTGGCACTATGGAAAAGGAACGAGCTTAAAAAACAAGCCAGGCTCTTCTAATTCTATCCACCACGTGCCTCAATCTGTACACCTCTATAAATATATTTATAAATATTATATATAAATATATATATATGTAGATCTTATGTATAACTATTACACACAGTATGTTTATTGTATTATAGGATAATCTCCACGGGAATACGTTTTAGGCCTTTCAGAAGTGGAAGGGACACTGACCTACTTCTATGCAATGGATTGCATTCCCTTTCACGGCTGACAGGGCTGTTCGGTGGAGAGAGATATTTTCAACTCTCGGTTATATTTTTTAAACGCTGTTTTTTATGCGCCACTGTTTTGAAGAATTTAGAGACTTCGGTAAACCTGCATCTTTAACATTGTTACAACGCATTATCGAAATTGAGCCATATGGATTTCCCAGAGTTCCCCTGTGGTGACCAATTGGCAGACAGGTTATACGTGTGCCATGTGTGTCTAGCAGGACCCAGCGGTGTCACTGCAGGTTGTGTCAAAGTGAAGTGGGGAAACAGATTGAGACTGTCGCATTATAGGACCAGAATAGGAACTGCCTTTACCTGAAGTCATGCATCGTCTGTTCAGTAAATAACTCCTACAGCATCTACTTAATGGAATCACGACCTTTTAAACTAGGAACATCTGATATCATTTCCTTGGTTTGTTGACACAATGATAATCTTTTGGCAGAATAAGCATGTCTGTAACACAGCAAATTCACAGATTGTACAGTAAAAGTAGAAATGATTGCTGCCATTAGGCTAGCTATAGATGCATAGATTTCCCTCATTCGAGTCGTGGGCTGGTGAAGAGAAATGTTATAGATTGTCCCATACATGGTAAACATCATGAATGGAGGAATCTCCACTTGCTGGATATTGTATACAGGCTGCTGACACCTGCGGCTGTCTAAATGGTGATTTCATCTGATTGCATGCAGCCCACAAAGGTCACCCATGGTACGCATTTCAGCTGATTCATCACAAAATGTCCTAACTCAAGCCATGTATGGCCAGCTTTAGCCTGGATTTTTAAGATAATTATAAAAAATGGCTGTATCCAGTGTTGTGTTGCCGGCCATACAGTTGCCAAAACCAGGCAGAAAATGCAATGATCACTTCATGTCTGTGAGCTGGTATACTGGCTACTTTATCTAGCATTAAAATAGATTTTACAAGTGTAGCAGAATCCTTTTAACATAGCTTTAGTTAGAAAGTTTTTCCTTAAAGGAAAATTCTGCCTTCTTTACTACACCAGCCATATTTTTCCATTTAAGGTCTGTTCACATTAATATGGATGGGTTAATGCAGGTTATGCTTCTTGTTAACATGCATTGCATTAAGGCTGCCCATTCATTTGCCTAGCACTCCAGAATGCACCAAAGTGTTGCATGTACTATTCTGGCAGTGCATTGTGCACGCAACTGCAACACGATAGCGTGAATAGGCCCTTGCAACAACTTTCTAGGGGTCATTCTGTACTGTTTATGTACAGACCACCCCTAGAAGTGTTATTCTCTCTTGGCTCTAATTGGCTTACTTTTTTTTTTATAATGCTATCCATACTTTTATTCCTCTAATAGATTCCTCCATCCATGCTAAACAGCATGGGTGAAGGAAACTCCATGTGTCAGCTATTGTATTTAGACAGCTGACACCCTTGGCTGTGTTATTAGATGCAACAGGTTTCCACCCAGCTCCTTTCATTTTCCAAGTGAAGTCTGTTGAGCGGTGTTGCCGGCAGGTATCAGCTGAAATTCAAGCCATGTATGCCACAGAATTTGAGATAAAATTACAGGCATCCCTAGCTTTGTGCTTAGGCTATTAGAGCACCTTTTACCTTTGGGTATTGTTTGGTCATATATACAGGTATGTTAGGGATACAGCATTTCTCGTATTGAAGCAGTAGGTCTGATTAAAGCAGGCAGACTGAGCAGGGAGTTACTGAAATAGCTTGTTTCTGAACAGAAACAGATACTTATCAACAGTGAAGTTTGCAAAAATCTTCTTAATGTATTTAACTGGCCTGGAAATTGGTTTTCTCAACAACAGTAGAGTCTTACAGAAGATTTGGGTAAAGTTCATTCATTTTAGATCTCGTACACAATGCTTGCAATGAATTAGGTCATATCTGTGAGCACCTAGTTGTAATCACCACTTGCACAGTACACATACCTTGCTATGAAGAATATACAGCACTGTGTTCAAGGGCTCACTGAATCTTTGCTGACTTCTGAGTGTGCCGAACAAAACATATCTAGCAAAGTGTATATGAGTATGGATAGCTGAATTTTAGAGTATACAAGGGGTTGGATACAGCTGCTTTTAGGCCACTAGATCAGTGGTACAACAACCGCTCTTTCCCTACATTTACTAGTTATTTGTTCACATTTCATTTTGTAGAGAAGAATTAGTAAATATCATTTGCAAAGAGAACACACAAAAGAAGTACCGATCCTCCACGGTTCAGGAAAGGAATGAGCCTGGCACTTGCCACTGGGAACACGTCTTTGATTCAATTTGAGCACATACAAACAGAAGAAAAGCTGGCCAAACACCGGATTTCGCTGGCATATTTTTTCGGTATTGAGTGCAAGTACCGATATTTATCTTTCGGTACTAACTGATACTGGTACTTCCGCTAGCATGGAGCCGGCTTCCCGGGCAATCAGGAACCCGGGGGGCGTGTCATTACCCGCCGGCCGGGTTCTTGATTGCCCGGGAAGCTGTCTCCATGCTTTTTGGCCGGGAAGACGGCTCAATACTGATTGGCCCAAATGCTCTGATACCTGAACTTCAGGTCAGAGGGAGCCAATCAGGAAGCCAGGCAGCGAGTATTGTCTCCTGGCCAATCAGCATCGAGCCAGCCTAACAACATGGAGCCGGTCTCCTGGTCAGTCAGGAAGCCGGGCGGCGAGTCATTACCTACCGCCCAGCTTCCTGGTTGGCCCGGGAAGCCAACTCCATGTTCCCTTGCGGCACTGCCGGTCAAAGGGAGATTTCGAGTATCTGGGAAGGTATCGGAGCATTTGGTGTACTTACCCAAATACTCGTTATCAGCACTGATACTAGTATCAGTATCGGTGCATCCCTAATGAACATCTACCAGTGTATGGCCAGCTTTACAGCTGAAAGCTTTTTTTGGAAATTGTAGTGCCATCTAGTGTATTCCTCAATGCAGGAAACTTGTAGTAAAACTCAACTTGTAGTTTCTTGCATTCTGATGTGAAAACATAGAGTTCCTCTGTCAGTCGGCTTGAATGGTTCTCTTTCATCTTTGCTGATTTCAGCAAGAAGAGATAACTGTGCTTTAACATTAAAACCTTGCCATTGCACTGTCAGACCTTACTGTATTGGCTGTATAGTAGCTTAAAGGATAACGTTCCAGTCAGGGTAACAGTAACCTTCCCTATAGTTACATAAATCAAAGTTATATGTACTTGGCCAGTCTTTCTTCTGACAGTAAAACTGGCTATAAACCAGTAGATTGTTTTTAATTTTCAGAAAGCTCATTTGATTTTCTAACGGTTAGTGGGGGGTCTAATCAATGTTCGTAGTAACAAGGAAAATGAAAGGAGCAGGATGGAAAATGTTTCTTATTTCTCATCTGAACTTTTTATTCATACATATTGTAATGCGCATGTGCCAGGCACAAAATAAACCTGTTTAATACATCTGGCATTCCATTCAAGTAGCCGGTCTGGATTAAATGTTTAAGGGCTTTCAAACGAAATTAGTTGACTCAATGATGGCATCATCAAATGCTTCGACGATTTCAAACGAATGTTGGGAAAAAATTCTAACTGTGTAATGAATGTTGAAAAACTCTTCACATTGGCTCAGAGTCATTTCCTCTTATCAAAGGATGTGGAGGATGGGAGGATTTCGTATACATGACTCTGCCCTGACTTATGGGCTGTTTCTTTATCCTAAGCAGATTTCCTTACCTGCTACAGGCTGAAAATATACAAATATAGTTTTTCTTCTGGAATTTCTGGAGTTTTCCCTCTAATATACCCGAATATTCAAATGTAAATACAGTAGTACAACATTCTATATAATATTATCTTTTTACAGCAGTCTAAGTAGATTGCAGTGGAAAATGAACAATTGCTGTGGCTATAGGTGTCCCATATGGAGACTAACACACTTATATGTCTAAAAGTCCCCTATGTCTAGCTAATAATATTGTAATACATACAGCAATAACATTTTACAAAATGCTACAATTTATAGAGATATTGTCCAGGCACTTGCAGTAAAGTGTGGATAATATGCTGTGACAATATTTCAGTGCTCACAGACGTTACCTATGTGAAAAGACATTAGGAAAGAGGGAACATTAAAAGGAGGGTTTTACCAGTAAAGGGTATGGCTTGTTGAAATGTGGTTGGCAACTGGGGGACATTGGTTGGATTAGAGCAGAGTTTTAGATTTTAAGGCAAGTGCACCATGTTTTTGGTGTATTCAGCCTGTATTCCTTCTGAGCTGCCTCTGACTTGTTTTGAGCTGCTTTTACATTCCCATTCCCAAACTGTTCTGATGTAAAGAAATGCATGTGTACACCAGCCCTTAAAATGTTAGATGGTAAAGTATGTTAGTTATTGTTTAAAAAAAAAGTAATGGTAGCCTTGGGGTTTACATTTATATAACTCTAAATAAATATAATAATATATATATATATCACTTAGTATACATTTAACCCTCCATTAAACCAATTGGAAGAGCAGTGAATATACATATTAACAGCAAAACACCTTCACAAACTAAAAGGCTGAGCTATTAAAGTGAAGTAAAGCTATAAGCTTTGCTTTAAAGAGACACTGTCTCCTTGACCGTTAAATGTCTTTGTTAGGGCTCCCAAGTTATACTCAACTTTCCAATGTTCTCTTGCTGCTTCTTCCTCCATATCAGCTGGAGACAATACCCAGGGGAGCATGTGACTTCTTCCATGGCAGTCATCGGGTCCAGTAGAGGCTGCAACGTCACCTTAGCTTCCGACACCAGCAATCACCAGGGATTTTAGCGCCAGCTGCAGTGAAGGCAAGAGCAACCAGGGAACACTGTCAAGGTGAGTATCAGGGGCTTGGGGGGGCTTTACATAGACACTTACTTTGACCTGAATAGGAAAGATGACAGTATTTTTCTAAACATTCATATACGTGCTGCATATGATTGGATGTTTGATTTACTTCACTTTAGTAACATCTCCCCCCGTGTTCCTGTGTCCAGTCCTCTCTGATGAAGTTCACTCACAGCATAGTTTTTTCTGGGTTTAGACCTACTCAGCTAAGTCATGCCATGGGTAGATGTTGCCATACACAGGAGCAAAAATTGTAATCTCTTCACATGACCAGCAGGTAAAGCCATAAGGACTCTATAAGAAGTACACTTTGTTACAGAATGGTTATCAGTTCTCTAAACGTATAGTGGGTTTTTTATGTGGTTTTTCAGATTTAGTGATTAGTGGAGTGCTTCTTTAATGTCCTGCAACAAATGTATCACTGGTAAAGTGCAGGAAATAATCGTAGCAAGTTAATGGTCGGTCTGTGATTCTGTTGTCTGTTGAGAACCTGCCGTGACATCACTCCAAAAGACACAGCACACTAAAGAGGTCCCAGTGAGCC